CGAAAGGTCTTCAGGGACAAACAACAAAACTTTTTTACAATTTTGCATTTTACAGACTGGTCGCGAAATTTTAGGTGTTAGTACAGGACAGAAGCCAACCATTTTGGAGGGCTATGGGATAATATTTAGCGAGTGATATAAACCATAACTTTGGTGAAAAAAATATAAAAATACCTGAAAAGCACTTCCTGTTAAAATCACAAATACTGCAAAGGAGCGCTTCTAACCTTCGAATGTGATTTCCTTGACATATTTGTTGGAAAATATATGCATATCAATGGAGAAATTTGAAAACGTTCTTCTTAAAAAATGTTCCTTATAAAACCGTATGTATCAGAAGGTACATGAGGATGTAGTCATTTAATGTCACGAAAATTTTTTTGGAGGCCCTTGAAAATGTTTAAAAGAGTTGATCTTGAAAACATGAAGTATTGTCCAGGAGGTTATTAAAAAATAGCCAAATTTAAAACAAAATTAGTACTTAAAAACTACTAGTATGCCCATGAAGGTCCTTGGAGGCTCTTGAAAATGTTTAACAAAGTAGACCTTAAAAACAAGGAGTATTTTTCAGGCAGATTTAAAAAAAGTCCTCAAAAACCACGAGTACGTTTATGGAAGACTTTGCAAGAGTAGTAAGGTATTCCTCAAAAACCTTAAAAATTTTCCCGGAGGTCGTTGAAAATCCTTGAAAACAGCTATAAAAGCTATTAATTTGCCACTACATTTCGTGAGAATTCTTGAAAAATAAGTTTTATACTTCACACTTACGCCTTTAAAGGTCGCTGTAAAATGGATTGTTAAAAAGTCAAAAAATGTATCTGGAGTACACTGAGAAATTGATTATTAAAAAGGGGAGTATGTCCCAGGAGCTCCTTGTAACAATTAAAAAAGACTACAGGTCCTCCTTAAAAATACACGATTATGTCGCTGAGGGTCCTGAAAAAATATTTTTTGTAAATAGTCCACGTTTACATCTCAGAAGGTCGTTTAATAAATAGTCTTTGAATTCCACAATTATATTTTTGAAGGTCCTTGAGAAATTAATTTTTATTTTGTCACTCTTGAAAATAGAATTGTTAAAAAAACAGGATTACATTTTATAGGTCCTTAAAAATTACCCTTCAATGGATCGGCATCCACGATTATTTCCCTTAAGGACATAATGTTTAAATATCCACAAAAATGCCACGAAGGACCGAAATTAATATTCTCCTTCCCTTAAAAAATATTTTTTAAAAAAAAATTTACGTTTGTCCCTGAAGGACCTTGAACAAAATAATTTTTTAAAATCCACCAAGATGTCTTTGAAGGTCCTTGATAAAAATATATTTTTAAATTGCAACGAGTATATTTCTGAAATGTCTCGCAAGTCTAGACTATATCTTTAAAGGCCCTAAAATAGCTTTTAAAAGTCCACGGTTATGTAAAGATCCTTTAAAATTTCTTTAAATGTATCTATATTTTAGGATCCTTTAAAAAAGTCTTTGAAGGTCCTTGAGAAATTAATTTTTATTTTGTCACTCTTGAAAATAGAATTGTTAAAAAACAGGATTACATTCTATAGGTCTTTAGAAATTGTCCTTCAATGGATTTGCATCCACGATTATCTCCCTTAAGGACATAATGTTTAAATATCCACAAATATGCCTCGAAGGAACGAAATAAATATACTTCTTTCCCCAAAAAATATTTTTTAAAAAATTTACGTTTGTCCCTGGAGGACCTTGAACATAATAATATTTTAAAATCCACCAAGATGTCTTTGAAGATCCATGATATAAATATGTTCTTTAAATAACAACAAGTAAATTTATAGCATATTTCTGAAATGTCTTGCAACTCTAGATTATATCTTTGAAGGCCCTAAAAATAGGTTTTAAAAGTCCACGGTTATATCAAGGTCCTTGAAGTTTTCTTTAAATGTATCTTTATTTAAAAAAGTCTTTGAAGGTCCTTGAGAAATTAATTTTTACGGTGTCACTCTTGAACACAGAATTGTTAAAAAAACAGGATTACATTCTATAGGTCCTTAAAAATTATCCTTCAATGAATCTGTATCCACGATTATCTCCCTTAAGGACATAATGTTTAAATATCCACAAATATGCCTCGAAGGACCGAAATAAATATTCTTCTTCCCTTAACAAATATTTTAAAAAAAATACGTTTGTCCCTGAAGGACCTTGAACAAAATAAGGTTTTAAATTCCATCAAGATGTCTTTGAAGGTCCTTGATATAAATATATTCTTTAAATTGCAAAGAGTATATTTCTGAAATGTCTTGCAACTCTAGATTATATCTTTAAAGGCCCTAAAAATAGTTTTTAAAAGTCCACGGTTATGTAAAGGTCCTTTAAGTTTTCTTTAAATGTATCTATATTTTAGGATCCTTTAAAAAAGTCTTTGAAGGTCCTTGAGAAATTAATTTTTATGTTGTCACTCTTGAAAATAGAATTGTTAAAAAAAAAGGATTACATTCTATAGGTCCTTAAAAATTATCCTTCAATGAATCTGTATCCACGATTATCTCCGTTAAGGACATAATGTTTAAATATCCACAAATATGCCTCGAAGGACCGAAATAAATATTCTTCTTTCCTTAAAAAATATAAAAAAAATATACTTTTGTTCCTGAAGGACCTTGAACAAAATAATGTTTTAAAATCCACCAAGATGTCTATGAAGGTCCTTGATATAAATATATTCTTTAAACTACAACGAGTATATTTTTGAAATGTCTTGCAAGTCTAGATTATATCTTTGAAGGCTCTAAAAATAGCTTTTAAAAGTCCACGGTTATATCAAGGTCCTTTAAGTTTTCTTTAAATGTATCTATATTTTAGGATCCTTTAAAAAAGTCTTTGAAGGTCCTTGAGAAATTAATTTTTATTTTGTCACTCTTGAAAATAGAATTGTTAAAAAAAAAACAGGATTACATTTTATAGGTCCTTAAAAATTATCCTTCAATGGATCGGGATCCACGATTATCTCCCTTAAGGACATAATGTCTAAATATCCACAAATATGCCTCGAAGGACCGAAATAAATATTCTCCTTTCCTTAAAAATATTTTTTTAAAAAAATTTACGTTTGTCCCGGAAGGACCTTGAACAAAATAATGCTTTAAAATCCACCAAGATGTCTATGAAGGTCCTTGATATAAATATATTCTTTAAACTACAACGAGTATATTTCTGAGATGTCTTGCAAGTCTAGATTATATCTTTGAAGACCCTAAAAATAGGTTTTAAAAGTCCACGGTTATATAAAGGTCCTTGAAGTTTTTTTAAATGTATCTATATTTTAGGATCCTTTAACAGGGTTTTTTTTAATCTCGAATATATATTTGTAAAGCCAAGAGTGTCTCGAGAAGGTCAAAACAAGTAATTCATGATTTGGAATAATCGAAATCGGAAGTATTGATGTGGGCAAGGTTCACTTTCAGCACTACGGACTACATGGAACATAGACAAAGAAACCCATAGCTCGTTCATGGGAACCGGAAATCGACCTTTCAAATATATAACTACAATTGGCCGCAAAAACGAGCTTGTGATTTAACACCGTTCTACTTTTTCTTTCGAGGCTTGCATCGATTGAAGACCTCAAAGGTGGAATTCGTGTGACCACCGTTATGCAAAATTGCCTGAAATGGATATGGTCCTGTAATCATTTTCGTAAAAAGTAGGAAACGAAACTAAATGTTAATTAATTATAATAATTATTGGCTGAATTCAAAGAAAATCTGTGGAAAAATAGATCAAATCGGACAGTGTTTATATATGGGGCCAAAAGTGAGCCATGGCCAAAAGTGAGCCAAAAGCTCTGCATAGAAAAAAAAATATGGCCATCGAAACATCAATTTATCGCCAACCGGGAGTATGATACTGATAATACATTGTTATTTTATGGCATGACTGTACCAGCAAAATTCTCCCTACCTACATCGCCTCTAAACACCACATCACACACCGTGGTAGTTGCGTCAACCATCATTCATTTTCATATGGCTAATTTGTATGATTTTAACAAGAAAATAATTTGAGGTTATGACCAGGGAATTACTGCCATTCATATTTCAATTAAATGACAAATCAAACAAATTTTAAACACAAAACCTTGGGGTCATTGAACACCAAACGGCATTTGGTATGCGATTCACAGACGATGTACAGCATCCTGTTCGGTGTGTAGTTATAGACGCACCCAAATCTAAAAATAATAAAAACGGATTTTATTTCATTCAAAAAAACACACCAAAACGAAAACAATAGCCACAGCACAAAGACCAGACGAAGGATTTGCCATGGTGCGTACACGACAAGGAAGATCAATGGTCAAGGATATGTTGATGGAACGGAAGCTTTTCCCTTCCTTCCGTGTAGCACCCAAAAAGCTTGGCGAGCAAACAAAACAAAACAAGTTTCAATGCTTTGCCATTGATGCTGGGCGATTGTTGCTGGGTGAGATCCTTTGGCCAGACAATGGTCCAGTCGTAGTTGTTGTCCATTGATGCTAACGCAATGATATTAGTTGTTAGACAGCTTGTACAACTGGACCAGGTGCGGTGTGGTGTGGTAGATGAGACACACAAGCCACAATCTAAACTGATCACTGGCAATGCTGATCAGCAGCGGAAGAGGAAATAACAACCACCAAAAACAAAAAATCCTTAGAAAATCACCCAAAACCAAAGGTATTTTTTTTTTCATCCTTTCTTCGATTGAACAATTGCATTGAACTTTTTTTCTGCTGTCATTGTCACTACATTGTTTCCAAAAGGGGAAGAGGGGAGAAAAAAAGGAAACTTGAAAATCAAGTTTTCACTGCTCTCGCATATATTGTGTTTCGAATATTTGCTATTATTGAAAAACATTGTTGCATTCTGAATACCAATACATTAACACAACACATCACATCACATTTGAGATCCTTATCATCGCTGCTGGATCTCTGACCTTTGGTATAAAACCCAAGGCTGCTGCGCAAACGCATTCAGTTTCATTTCAATCTTTGCAACAGCAGCAACAGTTCCCTCACTCAAAAACAAATCAAAACGATCGCCGTCGTTCCAACGGCATCGGTCGTGCGACAATGAATCTCATGGATTCTAAACGCGATGTGTTTAAACTAAAAAATTAATAACAATTTATGATTTATGGCAATTTTTTTTAATTATTACAAAATTCAAAACCAAACCAAAAAAAAATAAATAAAATGTGTTACAACAAGAAGAAATATATTTAAAAATGCAGCCTAAGTATACTACTCTACAGCCAACAATGTCAGATTGTTTTCAATTATTTTAACCAAAAAACAAAATCGTTATAAAAAAAAAAAACCAAGAACAAAAACACTTAACAAATGCAAATAATGACAATAGTTTTAAATCTGCAAAAGTGTGTTATTTTTAAATTGAAATTAACGATCAACGAAATCATCAACTACTGTGCTGAAAAATAATATTCAATTTTTTTCTTTCTTCCCATATTTTCAACAGGTAAGTTTCTTGAGAGAGTGTTGATTTTTATCAAATAAAAAAAAATTAATTAATATGATCGGACAAAAAATTATGTGGTGTTGAAAACATAAAACAAAAAAAAAATAAAATATTATTTTTGAGAGATTTTTACATTTTGTTGTTTAAAAAAAAAACAAATTTCCAATTCGAAGATGCTTCTCCACAAATCATCTAGACTATCTGGATTCGTAAAAAATATGTTGCGTCTGAAATCGAAAATTAAAAGTTTATATGATTTATATCGGGAATTAGGAATATTTCTTGTGTGCATGAAAAATTGAATCTTAATTTTTCATGCTACTCAAATTTCCAAAACTATAGTCGAAAATACTCAATAATAGACTTCAGTCACATTTCGATGGAATAATTTGTTAAATATGTAACCTCAATTTCGGTAGAAAATATTTTTAACGGAAATGAATCTGAGAAATTCGAAAAAAAGGAGTTGATGCCTTTTCAAAATTTTATAGAAAGTAAATACAAGAAGGAGCTAAAAACTTAAAATTGATTTTCTCAACAAGATATAATATCGAAATATGGGAGGAAGGGTGTCCCGGAAACGCTATGCCTTCGATATAATTTTGAACTTTTACTTCTAGTTGAGCCTTTTAGTCATAATCATTAAATTTATATATTCAGAATCATTATTTTCTGTCCATAAATAATTTAAATTCTTAAGAATAAAAATAATTAAATATGGAAGGGAGAGTGCCCCGGAATCTGCTAAAAAATGGTAGTTTAAAAACTAGAATTTAAATAAAGTGCTAACAATTAGATGATTTATAAAGATTATTAAATTTTTCTATTCAGAATCGTTAAATTCTATATACCAATTTCTAAGGATAACTTTTGAGGAATTTAGACTTTAGACAAAGACTACATCGTCGTATCAATATTTCACATTTGATGTACAATGAATTTAAAATCGGATAAGGGTATAAATGAGACCTATATCGAATTATGAAACGATATCGATAATTTTTGGCATAAATATTTCTAAGGTGTATCATATGTCATAATTTTAAGTGCATATTACTATAATATTAAATCCGATGTAACATATATATGGGAGATATAGCTATATCTGAACCGATTTTCATCGAATTTGACATAATTAATTCTGGTCTAATTCCATAACCCTTTTGCCTGGCCAAATTTAAAAATAAACTGGAAGTTTGTTTTTCTAGTAAAAAGAAACATCCTTGAGGACAATGTCCATATGGATTCAAGATTTGTTGCAATACACGTATAACGTTACCTCCAGAAATGCGGTATTTTGATAATTTGAGTCAAATTTTTTACCAGATTTTTTTATTCCCTCCTATGACAGGAAATAGATCATACAGCTCCACGTCTTCGTAAACCGCCTATTTAACAGTACCTTCTTATATTTGGTATTTTAATGATTTTTAGCCGCATTATTCAAGCCTTTTATTTCAAAGTTGGCATTTGATGTTTAATATAGGTAACACATTCTTTGACAGAAAATAATCAACAAATTACTATTTTTATAAAAAAAAAAATAACTTCTTTGGAAAAAATCTCGAAAAAGTCTATTTTAGGAGTTTTTAATATTTTTATGTCCATGTTTTTTTGCCCCATAAAATATTTTCTCTGTGAACAGATAGGTACACCAACGACAAAAAATACATATTTGTATCTGAAAATTTTAAATAAATTTTAAAATGCCCTGGTGGGTTCGGTTTTTTATGGGCTTATTTCAAAAGTTCTAAACAACTTAATTTTGAATTCGACTAAAATATTGTAGCTGAGTTTAAGTAAAATAGCTCATCTCGCGCAAATGTTGCAGACATTTATTTTAATTTTTTTCTCAAAGACAATAACCCTATATAGTTAACCCTTTATCGATAGTCGTTTCCAAGAAATATATTCTTTTCTCCAAAAAAAATAACAAAATTACGTATTTTCAGGAATAAAAAAATATATATTTGTGTTCAGGGGCATATCACATCAATATTTTTTAACATGTGGAGCTAAGTTCAGATATGATGACTATGGAATACATAATTCAGAAATAAATGAAGATAAAAATTGGGGATTTGGCCAAGCAAATTTAATTCTGGGCCATTATTCTTTGGAAGTTTAAGCCGCTTTAAATGGTAACCAATCGGTCTTCTGAATATCGTAGTTCAAATTGAGCTGAATTATTAATGTTACCTGAATCGAGTACAATTTGTCAAAACACAGAGTACAAAATGTGGAAATGACATGAACAAATTAAAATCTTCTATTCTGCCAAAGTTATGCTATTAGGAAAATGTGAAATGCCACAACCTTGGCCTATATTAACAATTATTTCAAATAATTCTTCAAAGTGTATTTTTAAAAGCGGCCATAACTCTTTTGCAGTTGAAAAATTTCAAATTCTTAGCTAAAAAAGTCCTCTAAATTTGGCACTATTTGAATAACATGTCCCATTAAGACATTGCTAATACAGCTTCCGAATAAGGACTGATGAAAAATATTCCCTAGAAAAATTATCAGAAGATATCGAGTTTCATGCATGCATTCAATATAAATCTATATGATGACTAAATTGATTTCCCCTTTTTATCCATTTATTATAAACCTCTATTGGATATTTTTACGAAAGGCCACAGACCTTTAATGCGGAAGTCTATTTAAATTTAAAGACAAAAATAATATTCCGCAATAATAAGGTAGACGTTATGATTTGAATTTTTTACAGTGCTGGAAAAATAATTCACAAAAAAATTGGAAAAAAAAATATAATCATTTCCAACCTTCAAAATTTATTTACAAATACGAAAACAATTTACCAAATATCCCCCAATTTTTTCAATTTCACAAAAAATCCTCTTTCTTTCAGGATGGATGCCAAAAATCAGCTCACACATACGTAACTTACTCTGGAGACACACACACACACAGGAAACCCCATACAACGAAACAAACAACGAAATGAAGCTCAAAAACAAACAAAAATGTAAACCAAAAACTAAGCAAGAAAATTCAAAATTTCTAAAACACAAAAATGTGATAAAAATCTTATAATTTCTACAAAAAAAAAATCCAAAAAAGCAAACAATCAAGATAAATTCATAAGTTTAAGAAACATCAAAAACAGTGAAATGTATGTCAAAATCATATAACTGGAAACTCAGTACAAAAAAAAAAACACAAAACATACTTCTCTTCCAAAGAAAACAAAAAAACGCCATTTTGTAAGAAACTCATACAAAACCAGAATAGTTCTGAAAATAACTCAAGGCAATAAAACTCAAGGCCAGAAAAACAAACAGACTCAAGAAATCAAGAAAGCTAAGCTAATTTCTAAATAAGAGCAAAAACAAAAACTCAGGCAAATTCATAAAAAAAAAATCTCAAATTACACATGCAGAGCAGCAGCAGAGCAAAGGAGACACAGCAGCTAAACTTTCCCCTTTACATTTATGAAAATAAAAAAGAAAAACAAATTACATTTTATCTAGCAACCCCCCGATTTTAGGAGAAATAATATCTAAGCCATGGAGAATATTATGCGGCGAATTCACACACAAGGATAATTTTCCCTTCAATTGCAGCAGGAGATGCTGTTATCCAAAACAATCTACATCTAAAGCTAAACACCCCTCGAAACAAGAAGCAAAGGAGATGCAGCAGCAGAAGATAAATTAGCATCACAAAAAGCAACTCAACAAATTTTTCTCTCCCTCTCTCTCTCTGAGTTAAGCAAAAACGACTCAACTCATTTAAACAACCACCCCACCAAACAAAGTTCAGCAGCAACATTATCATGAAATATATTTCAACTGAATGTTAATAGAAACTTGAAAACAATTATCAACATCATCATCAGCGGCAGCCTAACGGCATAACAAACCGGACCATCCAAGCCAAAGCCAAGCAACCCCAAACCCCTTTAAACGAAAGCGAAATATCCTATCGAAGAATTGTGTTTCTTACAACGAGCAAATGAATTCATAATGATGCTCTTTGGCTTTTGAGAATCTAAGGAGCGGAAAAGGAGTGTGGCAGGGATGTGGATGGACGGACGGACAGCTTGCTTGCCCGGCCAACTGGTGGATGAATACTAAATTAGTATGACGCCAAACAAAAACGGGTAAATTTTTTTCTTTCAAAAATCTTTTGTTTTTTGGTTGGTATTCGTTCTTTTTTTCGTATTTATTTATTTTGTTTTTCTTGTTCTTCTTTCCTGCTCATCAATTGAAATTTGAAAATTATGTTCTGAAGTATAAGGATTAAGACGTATTTCTAGGTGGTGCCTTTACTTTTACTTTTGCCTTTTTAGTTGTTAAACAGCCAAGGGTTTTAATTACAAGGGTTAACTGTTAAAAGAATTGCCAAATAAAAAGAAACGTCTATTTGAGTTTAATGTTAATTAAAAAATATATATTTGCTAATGGGGTAGAAGAGCTTAAGATGATACAAAACAAAAGAAAACAAAATGGAGAGCTGAAATTTACTAAATATTAAAATATAAAAGTCTGTTGAAATACAAATTACGAATTTAATGAGGATTATTAGTATTAGTATTGGTCAAGTTAAAACAAATTAATATCGAAAACATCTCAAGTGACTCTACGAATTTTAAATGATGAGATGAATGTTTCCCTATCTCGAATGAAAGCATTTGTTGCCATTTGAAATATAAGAATAGCAATTTCAGATTTCTCAAAGGACTTCACAGCTTGTGAAGGATGAGATGAATTGAAAATATATTAAAATGTTTTTTTTTTTTTTTGATTTGTTGTATATGATCTTTTAATAACTTTATTTTGGCTTGAGGTCGAAGACAGTCGAAATATTGGAAAATAAAAATAGAAATTATGAAAATAAAACACGAACATTTCAATTGACCTCAAGTCAAAATAAAGTCATTAAGAATATATTAAAAATATTAAATATTATAAAAATATACGAAACACACATTCCAAGATTGAACTTTCAATTAAGAAAAAATTACTTCAAGCCAAGAAAATTTGAAAATTTCTGAATGACATATAATAGCTGGAAAAAATACCTAAAAAGTTATTCGCAATCGAAAGCTGAATAATAATAACAATTGAATTCTGAATAAGATTTTCAAGAAATTCTCCACATGATAGCAGTTCGATAAAAAGACTAAAAGTATTTTTCTCAAACGAAAATAAGAAAGAAGTAACAGTTGTTCATTAGCTTTTTTTTTTTTGAAGACAATTTTCAATTTCCAAAAAATATCCCAATGATTTTTTACAATTTTCAAGCAAAATGCAATTTCTCTATCTAGGAAATAATATTGCACAAAAATATAGAAATCTAAAATTCAATCAATAACTTTCGAAAGTTGAATTAAATTGAAATTTGGGGTCCGTCCTAAACAATTTTAAATTTTTCAAAAAATTAATCGCTTAAACCAAAATTTCTCTATCTCAACAAATACAATTCGATTCCAAAAGAAAAAAAAAAAAAATAAAGTAAATAAATAAACAAACAAAAAATAAAAAATATTTTTCTCGAACGATAACTGGATAAAACCCAAATATGCAATTGCCTACTTCTGAAGATGATTTCAAAATTCTCAGAGAGACCAATAGACTTTCGACTTTTCCAATGAAATGAGTTTCTCTACCACGAAAATGATAACAAGAAAACATTATAAAATCAGACAGTCAATCAAAAACTTAAAATTTTATAAAATTTAATCGCAACCTTTCCTAAAAATTTTTGATTCAAAAAACATATTCGCGAAAAGCTATGTTTCCTCACAATTTGCTAAAATTATTGACAAATTCTATAAATGATATAATACTAAAAATTTTACTCCAAATGAAAAACAAATTTGCAATTTACTACTACGATTTTCTAATTCCCTAAAAATGTCAAGTGAATCCAATGAATTTCACTATCTCGAAAACAATATCAGCAAAAATATTAAAATTTTAATAATTTTGTTCATTGAGAAAAATTTTAATTTTCCAAAACCAAAAAACCCTTTAAAATTGTGTTTCTCTATCTTGAAAATACAATTGACAAAATTACTGACAGATTTGCTGCCAAAAAATCAACAAATAAAAAATAGCTGACAAATTCTTGCTTGGTCAATTCTTGACCCATTTCGCTTCTCCGTTCGACTAAAAAGAGAAAAAATACCCTTGTTCAAAAAAAAAATAAATAAATATTTATGTATGAAATGGTAAAATTTTAAGCAAAGTAAGAGTCGTCTGTCAATCATTAAAAATACCCCCCTGCCCCCTAAAAATACCCCACCAATGGTAGGGGTACATTTCCGAAGCCCATATTTTTGGATACTTTTCAAAATTAATTCTAAAAAAATAATAAATGGAAAAAGTAATGATGAGGAATTACTGTCAATATATGTAACCGTTACATTTAATATAAAAAGCATGGTTTGCATGCACAAACTTCACTTTACTCGACTATTCGAAATTTCGAACCCTAGTTTCTGGAAAAACGAAAAATCGGAAAATTTTTGTCATCAGTTGACCCAAATTACTCAAAAAAACTAATCTTTTTAAAAACAATAACAATATTTAAATCTCGAAACGAAATGGGTTAAAGAGATTTTTATAATTCATAAAAAAACTTAGCTTAAAAATGTTTTTTAAATTTAGAAAAATGTTAAAAAAAATTGGAATACATTTGTTTCTACTTGTTTCTCTATTGCTAAAACTATGATTTTTCTGTATCTGGTTATATATTTTTGAATACGACATGAATAGTACAGCAAACGAAAATTAATAATTCATATATTAATAATAAATGAGAAATATTTTTTTTTTAAATAAAAACAATGGGCTTAAGACTGACTAGTTTGAAAGAAAACTTAAAATTGTTTCTGTATTTCAAAAAACGAAAAAAAAAACTTCTTTCTATTAAAAAAATATATATACTAAAACTGCCTGAATACAATTTTCAAATTTCAAAAAATACTTCCTCGGAAACACGGTTAACAAAAAAATAAAAAAAAAGCAAAATTCCAATGAAAAAATGTATTCATTTAATTTTTTTTATTGTCAATAGGAAAAAAACAATTAAAAATATAACTAAAATAAATGAAATTAAATAAAATAAATTTTATGTAACTAAAATTAATTCAATATAACAAACGCCTTATGTTCTTTGAAATACAAAAACGTGAAATTTTCAATATCGATATAAAAAAGCCTTTGAGAACTTGTTTCTCTATCTCGAACGATATTTTTTGTTTTTGAGTCCCTCAAATGACTTAACAGCTTTTGAACGATGAGGTAGACAGATGAAATATAATAGATTGGGTCTGAAAAATGAAAAAAATATTCTTATATTTGACAGTGCAAATAATTGTACAAACTTAAAACTTCATTGTTTCTATAACTCGAAACTCCCAAAAATAAAGTGGAATAGAACAAATATTGGAAAAGTTCTCAAAACAAAGTAGATATTTAATTGAATTAAGATTTATTTACTTAAATATTCTTCGAGATATGGAAACAAGAAAACGTTTGGATTTCGCAATTTTAGACAATCTGCATTCGAAATCCCTCTTCAATGGAAACATAAGTCACCTTAAAAATTGCAGATTATTGTCTCTATTCAATAGGGATTTCAATTTGTGAGATACATAATTAGACTCCTCTTTCATAATTTCCTTTGAGTTACAGAAATGGGAAAAAAAATAATTTTAAATGTGACAAATATTTTCATAGTTTCAATATTTTAAAAAATAAAGGATAAACAATCTGATAATTTTAATAAAATTGTATTAAAAGTTTTTCAAGATACAGAAACAAAACGAAAGACCCGGTTTTAGAGAACATGTTAAATAATTGACTTCATATAAAACATATCTTATATCAAGAATCGAGAAAATGATAATAATAAAATAATTAAAATTTAAATTTTGTTTGAGATACAGAAACGCATCTCTTTTTCTATACTTAAGAAAAAAATATTTTTTCATTGAAAATTCTCCTCAAAAGTAAATACAACAATTGTATAACTTTGTGAAATGAACCAAAGGGTTTTTTAAACAATGAAATGACACAGCTTTTCATTTGAGGAATAAACTTAAATCAAAAAAAAAATCCTATGATTTCTCATAGAATTTTATTTCTGTAGTAAATTTATTTGAACAGTGAATTTTATTTAAATTCCGATTTCAGGATTAATTTGTGTGAGTTCGAAATTCATTTATAGTAATATATGAAAATGAAACGAATTTCGAATTAACACAAATATTGTCATGAAGTCGGAATTTAAAAATACTGAAACAAAATTCTAAGGAGTATGAATCCATTTCTTTGAGAAATCGTGGCCTTTTCGATTTAAGTTTATTCCTAGAACAAGTTTTATTTGCCGTCAATTAAAAAAAAAGTAACAGTCATGTAAATGGTGAATAATTTAAAAATTAAATTTCTGTGCTTTTCTTCGAGATACAGAAACATTAGAATGCATGACACTATATGGAATTTTCAAATAATCTAATTAAAATTTAATAATTGAAACGTTCGCTAGCTCTCCATAATCTTGCTAACTCTTTTCTAAATAAACATATGTATTTTTAAATTAAAATTTCAATAGACGTATTTTAATATTTTGAATAACTTAGTTGTTAATAATTTACATACATTCTTTTAATTCCAAAAAAAAAATCTTTGATAATAATAATTACCTTAAAAGTTACCACACGAGGCCTTAATTACATTTAAAATAATTAGCTGAAATATTTCAAAAATTCTCTTAAATTAATCTTCTACCGTAATTTAAATGAGAATATATTAAAAATAAAACCATATAATCTATAGTGTCCTTAGTAATAAAATTAATAGAATACTATAATGAATAGAATACAATAATGTAAATTTAAAAAAAAATATGTACCTTCCATAGTATGTTGGAGGGTATAAAAATTAATAACATGTTTTTACAGTTGGTTTTTTAATAAATAGTAAGAGTTCCGAAATTATATATATATATATTTTTTTTTTTTTTTTTTTTTTGAAAAATGGAATTCTTATTCCAGTTTCTTATTCAAAATATTAGATTATCGAAAAAAGTGATATAAATCTAGAACCTATACTTCCTTGTCAGATCTTAGTCGTATACTATAAACCACAATAAAAATATTTCCAAATGATTTTTTTCCCAACCTGGCAAAAATATGCTCCTTATTGATCTATTCACTCCCCAAAGACCACTAAACGTTCTAAAAACTCAATGTTCCTTTAATTTTTTTAAATAAATTTAATATCTCGCTACTAAAATTGAAAGTCAATAATTCATAAATCCATTCAATAAATTGAAATTATTGCAATTTTACAATTTAAAACACCATTTTCAATATGTCAACATTTCCTTTTCAAAATATATCCAAGTTCAAAAAACAAACTGGTTTCTTAAATAACCCTTAAACATCTTTCTGTTATATACCTACAATAAAAAAACCCACCCCTTTTTCGTTAACAAAAGGACGCAATCTAGAAAAATGGCGTCCTTAGGGAAAATGTTTGAAATAATTCCAACTTGAAAGCATCGCAGGAAAAAACATCTCATAGGAGTATTTTCTAATAAGAAAGTCAGCAAAATAATATGTTACTCTTCAAAATATGTTAAATTTATCACCTTGTATTTCGTGCAGCAAATGAAAAATAAATTAGAACAAAAATTTTCGTTTTTCCGTTATGTATTGGATTATTTAAATTTAAAAAGAATATTAAGAAATATGTTGAACTATATTTCCCAAAAACATGATTTATACATGTTCATAAAATAGACAAACAAAGCCATTTCATTTCTATAAATGTTGATGTTTCTCAAATGTAATAGAAATCTCTAAACAAAGATGTCAGCCGATATGTCATCATCATCATCAAAAAAATTCCACATAAAATTCAAAATTTTTATCAGCACACAAATCTACATCGATTTAATGATGTCAGAACAATTTGTATTGTGTCTAGAATGATTGGTATTGAAAATGAGATATATCTGTCCACATTTTTTCATGGATTTGCCTAAAAATTGGTATTTATAGGTCATAATGAGTTCCCGCAGCGGCGGCAAAACATTGAATATTTAGATCCAAATTTAATGTTTTTTTAATTGTTTTAAAACAAAATTTGTGCAAATCTTCAAAGCATATCCATACAAGCCCGATTTAAATAATTTATATTTGTATAAAAATTTAATTCTTGCAGCTGCAGGATTTTTTTTACAGTTTTAGATTTATTAAAAAAAAATATCTTTGATATTTCGGAAAAAAAATCTAATACATACCCTTATGTCTCGTCAAATCCATACACTTTCCTGAAAAGAAAAAGAAATATAGATGCTGTTAAATTATTTCATAAAATTAGGTTTTTAAATTTTTTTCGTAATTCTAAAATATTAACGTTTAACAATTCTCTGCGATGACTTAGCACTTTATGGGTGTCTTAATGAGTATAGAAATTTATTGTAGAAATGAAATGATCAATTTACAATTAAAATGCCATACAACCATTCTAATAACAAATATACATTTTGGTAAAGGTCTGTGAATCATATTTTATTTCATTACATTTTAAGCCACTTTCAATAACAATTATTGTTATTTTGAACCATAATATTAAATAAAGTAAATTACTATCCCTGTCGGTTATATTTAATATACATGAAAATGAAATGTTTCATGAGAAATTCCAAACGAGTGTTTTATGTTTTATGTACAGAAACGAATGTTTTATGTACAGATTCTCGTCAAAAAAACACAAACCAGCTCCTACAAAATATTTGAATAACGGGCAAAACTTATATTCCCAAGAAATATATTTCATTCGTAGTTTTTTTATATTTTATTTCTAATTTTTAAACATTTTTATATTTTTTAATCACAACACCCTATTTTTAAGATTTTTTTTTTTTTTATTTTTTTATCATTTTCAATTTCTTTACAAATACATACACTAATATATTTCTCTTTCTCTTTCTTTTTAGCAGGTACATTGAAGGATACAGAACGAAAACAAAACCCTACATTTAATCTAAAAATTTTAAATTTGGCAAGAATTTGTGATATTTTGGCAATAGAGTTTATTGGGTAAATAACAAAGCACAAAAAAAATAATTATAGTAATATCTTTTGAAATATTGGAAATAATTAGAAAACAAACATATCTAAGCAAAAAAACCAATTGTATGAAAAAATACAAAAATTCAAAATCATTGTTTTTACACATATACAATTTTTTCATATATTACATAAATATCAAATTCAATATATGCATATGTGAGGGTTGTGGTTGTGGGATTTAATTCGAATAGCTTGGGTACAAATCCAACTAAAAATAATACTTTTCTGCTGACAATCTAAAACAAGGGATTATTTCTTTTGGGAGTGGAAAATGTTTCAAATTTTTTTCGTTGAGCACTTGTGCTGCTTAAAAATTTCTAGATTTTAAGCTCAAAGTCAACACTACTAATTTTATTAATATGAAGTATATAATTGACATATATATTAGCCAATATAAAAATTTGTCCAGAGAATTGAATCTGTCCCCTATTTCTTATCAAATGTTAAATTTTGAAACTCATAGACAATAAAATGCTGTAGAGGTCCATTGGTCAAAATATAAATATATTTACAATAAAATCCCTTTCCGTCCATTTAAAATAAAATTTACGATTCAAGCATACAAACAAAAACCTTTTAAATTTTGGTTATTTTTAAAATAACGCAAAATTTTATAAGGCATTATAGACAACGAAATCTGGCATTGGAACAAATTTAAATATTATTTCGTTATAACCATCCTAGTGTGACCTATAAAATAAAACTTGACTGAAAAGTTCAAAATACTTTTTAAAACATTTTTTTTTTCTTTTTAATTTGAAAAAAATCAATATTCGACAGTGATCTATAAAAAACTTGACTGAAATAGTAAAAATAGTATTTAAAATTCATTTTTTTTTATTTGAAAATATTCCATATTCGACTTCAATATTTTTGGATTTGAGAGACTTTTTTGATCTAGCTATCGGTGTTTATCCGTCCATACTTATATAAAACGTTTGTATTGAAATCATTACGAAATTCTGCACCGAGATAAAATGAAGGTTATTGGTAAAAGTGGAGGCTTCTTCTCGAAAATTGCACCTTTTACTAACAATAAACTTAAGTTTCGACTCATTCAAAACCAAATGAATAATTTAATTTTTAATATTTCAACTTTGAGATTTTGATTCAACCACCAAACCCCAAAATTAAAAAAAATGTATCATAGTCCTGAAAATATTCTGTTTTTCGAAGCCTGATCCTCCATTATCAAATAAAAAAATCCAAAAGGCTAATCAAATTAAAGACAAATCCAATTTGAGCTAAATTTCAAAACTATAAAAATAAACAAGAATATGGGAAGATACATTACTATGGATAATTTCAAAAAAAACTTTATTGTAAAATAAAAAAAATACTTCAGTTAAAACTATAATGATAGCCTTTCAAACTCGTAGCAAACAGTTATCAGGATTATAATGTCAAATCTACCCAAAAATAAAAATAATCTGAAAACCATATTCAACTGATAACATCCAAAGATGTGCTTTTTGGAATTCAAAGAAACTAACATTTTTTCCGAAACTTTTAAATTTTATTTACGAGTTAATTAAAAACATGATGTCTTTTACGATACGTGTTGGAGTTCTTTTATCAATATCTCATAGGCATCTTATAAAAATGTTTCGAAGTATTATTCAAATCTCTATTTTTTGAAATTTTAAAAAATCATTTATTTTAAACACAAAGTTTCAAATGTTTATTAAGAATTTATTCTAAAATATTAATCTGAGTCGTCTGTATCCCTCTTTCATGCAAAAAATCCAAATTTCTTATGAGTATTAAAATTTTGCACAAATCCGTATCGCAAAATTGTATTCTTCAACATGAAATTGAAACTTAAATTAATATTTTTCAAAACCTATTATTTCCCCTGTCAGCCAAATTTAAACGACTTAATTTTGGTCCAAGACCCTAAAAGGCCTTTACTAACTAGATATTAATATTATTATTATTATTTTTTTTTTTCAAAAAAAACTTGAGGATGACGAAATACAAATTTCAAGCTTGAAAAAATATTTGAAAACATTAAAAAATATTTAAATTAGTTCCAAATTGAATTAACAAAAGCAACCTTTCTAAACAGCTTAACATTTCAATTTGACCATAGAATATAATTTTATTGAATTTACCTGAATTATTTTTAATATTTTGACCAATTTTAATAAAAAGTAAAAAAATTACCAATTTTTAAATAAATTTTAAATAAAAAATATAAATTTCAACATCAATCCACGCGAAAATTCATTTTCTATATTCAAAAATTGAGCTTTAGTTTAACAATTTTAGATACAAATAGTTTTGTTCAGAATCAAGACCAAATTAAATTAACTCCTTACATGATGCCAATTATGACAAAATTTGTTTAACGTTTTTATACAATTAAGAAAACTGTCAGAAAAATATAAATCATTGCCGAGTTAACTAGGGGTATATATTTCGCCCACTAAATCGCAATTTAGAGAAAACCAAATTTATGATAAATATAGCAACTATGTTTTTTTAAATTTGGAATTAATTAAAAAAATATATATATTAATGCCAATATTACTTTTTATCCCAACTACTTGAGATAAACTTAAAAAAAAATACAATTTTGAAAATGAACACCAAAATAATATTGCTCAGCCATCTACGGAAATCTTGTTTTTCGACCTCAAATCAGTAAATTAAGCCTGGAGCTTTATATGAAAATATTACAAAATGTATTTATTGAAAACGATATGGCAACATTAAGACTGAACTATACATAAAATGTCCGCAAATTACCCAAAATTCAAAATTTCATTTTTAATAATTCAGAAAACAATCATATGCAAAATAAAGATTGTCCTCAAATTAAATATTGCCTTTGCGTGAGATTCCTCAAAAAAAAAAAATATTTTTCCATAGAGAAATCTATACCAAATTCGAAATCAACATACAATACATTTAAAAATATGAAGAAATATAAAAAATTAAACAAAAACTGCTATTTTCCAAAACTTACTCCCCAAGACAACGCCATCCTTTCCCTTGGTTTGCAATATTTCTTATTTTACAACGCACATAAAATGCCATAATTATGCGACACAAACAACAAGATTTGTAAAGACATTTCTCAAACGCCATTCAGACACTAGAAAACTGCCAGCAACAACAAAACAAGACATCCAACAAAGAGTCACAAAGTAATAAAACTGACTGCTCAACTGGATTTAAGATAAATTATAACATTAAATTAAACATTCGAGCAAAATACCAAAAAAAGTCTAACTTAACGGAAGTCATAATGCGCCATTATAATGGCGTATACGACGACGTAGAAGAAGAAGATTTAGAACAAGAAACCAAAACTGAAAAACAAAACAGCCGCCAATTTGTGAAGCAGGCTCTCCTTCCATTAACTACAAAATAGACAAGGCTTGAAGAAAAATGTACTTCCATATCGTCGTGGCAAAACGCAGATGAAGAGCAATAAGACCGAGTAATAAGTTTTACAGCAAATGTTGGCAAAATTACAAATTATGACTGCCCATGAATTATGGGATATCTTGGAGTTGAAATTATGGCTAAGCAGAGAGGCATTTTAAAATTATTTAAAAATTTTAAATTTTTAATGAAATAAATTTAGTAATTCCAAATAAATCAAAATTTCTAACCTATATTTAAACAAGATTTTGAAAGTAATTCATACAAAATATCGAAATTCGAAAATACTTTTAAATACATCCAAAAATACTATTTTGAATTTAACCTTGGAAAATTTTTATTCGAGCACCTTTTCGATAAAAATGCCCTATTAAACCAATCATACCAATTTTTTTTTTTTTGAAACCAAAATTTTTTTTCAAAATCATAAATCCCATAAAAACAATGCCTTCCAATGTCCTGGGTTCGATAAACAAATTAAATTTTCCAAAAATTCGGAAAATAAAAAAATATATTTACCAAATAAAATAAATTCATAGTCTTTAGCCTAAAAGATATCTCTTATTTAATAAAATGGAAAAAAACATCATATGACCCTTACATTTACAAAATTACATTACAAAATTTAGAATTTGAAGTCAAACCCAAAATATTTGTTCCATTTCCATTCTAAGAACCATTGGTCATTGTTTCAAACCTGAACCACAAAAGCAATACTACTAATTTTTCCTAAGCTCAAAATAAATTCCAGTTAAAAAATATAAAAATTAATAAAATCCTAAAAAAACTCAAAAAATCAAACAGGGTATTATTGACCAGAAATCAAAAGGAAAAAAAAATTTCTCGAACAATCGACTATTCTTCTCGATTTCTATTCGCAATTCCGTTTTTTTTTTTTTGAAAACTAAGGAATATGGCCGCCTCATATCAAAAAAGGAACCCCCAAAGACCAGCCTTCCATACACGAGAACTGGATAAAAATTTTCAAAATTTTCCGTTTTTTTAAATCTAAGAAACATTGGCCTGATATCAAAACAGGATTTCAAAAATTCCACATCTTTCCAAAAAAAGAGAACTGAATATAATTTTTTTAATTATCACCTAAAATGAAAAACAACTACATTTTTAAAAAAAATATGTTTTGCACCAGGTGGGTAAAACAGAACCAAGGCAGAAGTAACCAAACATTTTAACAGCAAACTGGGACTAAATTCCAAAATAATTCCAATGAGATCCTCATTTCAACTTGCTAAACGAAATCTATAAATGCAATGCAATTTAAATTCACATTTAAAATTTTCTGATATTTTAAGAACAAATCTGTCATTGTCGTATAAAACTTGAGCCAAATTCCAAAAATTATTAAAGAGAAAATATGACCCCAGAAATGACTTTCCGAAAAATCATTTTAAAAATACGTAACAATTAAAAAAAATATTTTCGAGAAAAAAGGAAAAATATGCATTCAAAATAAATATTAAAAAATCAACTTTCCACTTCAGAACTGGGAAAAAATAACACAAAAAGTACCAATGGCATTTAAATGACTTTTTGCAAATGACTATCCACTCCATATTTCACATCGCTAAATTTTCAAAATTAATAAAATGTTTACCATTTCTAAAAGTAGATTTCCAAAACCGTGAATTATTTCAAAAATTCTCGTTAAATTTTGAAAAGTTGCTTACAGAGATTATAAAAGCCAAAATTTCCAAATTTTAAATTCAACCTTGATATTTGAAATCCTAGAAATTGAAATAATTCAAAAATCCTCGTTAAACTGTGAAAAGTTGTTTACAAAAATTACAAAATCCAAAATGTCAAAAATTCAAATTCGAAATTTGAAATTCTACAAAACTTCGCCCAAAAAACCAAGTTTGAAATTTTCATCAACAGTTGATCATTAAATAACAAAAAGTTGCCCAGATAAAAATTATAAATTTTAACTTTTCCATATTCTTGAAATAAAAATGTTATATCTTAACCCAGATTTCTTTGGATATCAAATTATGAATAATAAATTATAAAAGAAAAAAAAAACATGTCAATTTTTTTTGGGAGATTCGTACTGATTTTTTAAACCTAAAAATAAAAACCAAATATTCCAAAATTGTATCTAAAATTTTTAATAAATTAATAGTCTTAAAAAAAAAAAAATAACTCCTGGGAAGAATATCCCAGACAAAAGGC